AAAGTGACAGCTATTTATGAAATAACTTCGTTTGGGTGGTGTTAAAGCTCATGGTGGAAACCGCAATCACACACACATCCTGTTTGCATTTCTCTGGGCACTGCCGACTGTTCCATCATGGCCCTGCTCACTCAAAGGGCTGGGCAGGGGCTGGGGCAGCCAGCTGAGCACCAGCCTCCTCCCTCTGCAGTCCTAGAGAGAGAAGCAGGACCAAGAGGACCGATGTGTGATTCTGATCAATGCCAGTTACTGAGTCTGGAATCATGGCCCCTGGAAGGCTGACACAATAGTGGCCAGTAGTGGCCAGAGACACAGATCCAGGCAGAGACATAGAGAAATAGTAGAAAAGGGGGAAATAGCCCTGGCCGGTTTGGCTCAGCGGTTAGAGCGTCGGCCTGTGGTTTAGAGAGACCCGGGTTCGGTTCCCGCTAAGGGCATGTACCTCGGTTGCGGTTTGTCCCCGGCCCTGGTTGGGTCGTGCGGGTGGCAACCACTCGATTTGTCCCTTTCATGTTGATGTTTCTCTTTCTCTCCCTCCCACTCTATCTGAACAAAATATGAAAAAATATTCTTGGATGAGGATTGAAAACAAAAAAGAAAAGAAAAGGGGGAAATAGTTAAAAGGTCAGACATTGAAAAGGAACCCCTTTCACACAGCTCTGGAGGATGGTACATCGAGGAGCATCGTCTCCAACATCATGTCCAGTAGAACCTCTTCTGATGGTTCTTTCAGAGTCTCAGCAGTGTGCCAGGCACTGTGCCAGGTGTGAGACACACCTTGCCCATCTTATTTGACCTTCTAAGTAGCCTTCTGATCACAGTGGATGTAGCTATTCACGTTTTGCAAGTGAGGAAACAGAAGCTTAGAGAACTAAAGAGACTGGCCACAGTCAGAGAGCTCCTTCCTGGAGCCAAAGAAGGCGCAGGCCCTCCAAGGGGTCCTCAGACACCTACCTCTGCAAACACAGCTCCCCTGCACTCAGCTTGGGATGATGAGCTTTATGTGTCAGAGGGAGAGAGAAATAGCTCTGATCTTTGGGCTGAGGAACTTGGGAAGTCTGGGGTTGGGGACTGGGGGTGGACCTGGGACAGAACACACAGCACAAACCCAGATCCGACTAAAGGGAGGAAGTAGAGGCCAAGATAAGAATATGTAAAACTGGAAGGGGCCTCAGGTTCAAGGCCAGAGATTCTCAGAAGAGGAAGTAGGGAGAGGAGAAGAGGATGCCAGGCTGTTATTGGGAAAGGACACTGACACCAGCTCCCTAAGGGAAAGAAGACCCAGCCCAACTCCATACTTCTACACATGGAGAAATTGAGGCCAGAGAGGGAAGGAGGCTCCCAACAACAGTGTACTCTGATCAAACCGTCCTGGGGGTAGTGTGCACACGAACTGTGCATGTGCCCTGGCTGTTTTGGCTCAGCAGTTAGAGTGTTGGCCTGCGGTCCAGAGAGACTCTGGTTCAGTTCCCGCTAAGGGCATGTACCTCGGTTGCAGTTTGTCCCCGGCCCTGGTTGGGTCGTGCAGGTGGCAACCACTCAATGTGTCCCTTTCACATCGATATTTCTCTCTCTCTCTCTCTCTTCCTCTCTCTCTCCCACTCTATCTGAACAAAAAAATGGAAAAATGTCCTCAGGTGAGGATTAAAAAAAAAAAAAATGGCATGAAAGTGCTCATAACTTTTCTTTTTCTTTTTTCCTATCTTGTTGAAAATGTTGGGGAACAAAGAGAACCATAACTTCCACTTCACTTTTCGTAGTTAGCTTCCCACACTTCTGGCCCTTTGTTATTTCTACCAGTGACGACAGTTCTTCCCCCTCTGGGAAGCTGATGGGGGACAAGTGTCCTCCCGGTGCCAGTATCCCACCCCCTCAAGTAGGGGCTGCCCAAGGTTCACAGAGTGGCTCAGACACTCAGTTCCCTACTCAGGCTTCTTTGTGCTATTTTCTCTTCTTTCTATCCTGAGGCCCCAGCACCTAAGTCGGGACAATAGAGATGGGAGAGGAGAGTGAATAGGGGGTGGCCTGGCTTGGCTGGCAGTGGTCAGCTGCCCACTTAACCAGTCTAAGTCCAACTCAAGGGAGTCCTTTTCCTACCTCCCCTCGTCTCTCAGGAGGATTATGTATAGGACTGTGTGGGTAGGTTAGGGGGTTGTTTTCCAGGATCCCGTGGGGCACTGTGTATACATTAGCATGCCTGGGAGAAGGGGTAAGTGGGTGTGGGCATCAACCCTGGATGAGCCCCTGGGAGCCCCGGAGGTAGAGACAAGCAGAGCTGCATGGTACAGCTCTAGCCCCAGCCAGTGAGTCACAAGATGGAGAACCTGAGGCCCGGATTGATGGCCTCAGCTCTAACCAGGTGGGTCTGGGTTTGAATCTCAGTTCTGAAAGGTGCTCAGAACACTGGGCAAGGTCCCCTGGGCCTCTCTCTGAGGCTGCTTCCTCCTCTGTATACTGAGAAGGATTTGGCAAATATTTAACAAATACCTCCTATGTGCCAGGTACAGTAGCAAATGAGAAAAAACAGTTACATCCCTGGGGAGCGAGAGAGAGCTATTAATCAAATTATCACAAATCCATATGACAATGCTAAAGGGGATAATAACAGGATCTACTCCTAAGGGTGATGTGTGGGGAGGATTAAAGCAGCAGCTGCACCTAAGCACATGGAAGCCTTCAGGAAACGCCAACTGTTATTACCCCAGCCCCTCAGATGGCATCTCGTGGAGTTGAAAAATTGGAAGTATACTTTATATTTTTCCAGCGCTTTAAAGTTTTAAACGCATTTTCCACACATTAACTCGTCCAGTCTTCCCAATAACCCTGGCAGGTAGGTGCGTTATTTCCCCCAATTTCTTGATGAGATGATGGAAGCCCAGTGAGGTTAAGTGACTTCCTCAGCGGCTCCAGCAAGGAGATCCAGGGTTTTACACCCCCTCGGTTGTTAAAGGGCAGGGCTGGAAAACCGCGAGCCCTGGGACAGGAGGGGGCGGGAAATGAGCGGGCTTTCCCGGCCTCTCCGAGGGCAGGCGGGCCGGGATGTGCTCCGGGCCGCCCCTCCGCTGCGCGACCGCCGCCCTCCCCGGCCTGCAGCGGCCAAGGCCGAGGACTCCTGGGGGACCCGGCCGGGGCTGCGCGTCCTTCCCCTCCAGCCCACGCTCCGGCTTCCGGAGGGTCTGGCCGGCCTTCCCCGGCCCGGAGCCAGAGGCCGCCAGGCTGGCGTCCCGGGCGGAGAACATGCCCCCTGCCTGCTCCCCCGCGCGCCCCGCAGGCAGCCCTCCCGTGTCGGGCGCCACGACCCCCAGCACTGGGCCTCGGGAGCCTCGGGGGGCGGCCCCTCCTCCGCCCTCTTGGGTTCCCGGGACGCCGGCAGCGCCCACTCGTCTTCCCGCCCCGGGCGCCGGGTGAGGGGTGGCGGCTCCCAAATCGCTTTAGCCGGCGCCTCCCCGCGCGCGGAGCCGCCACTCCGGCCCTTCTCCCCGGCTCCTGGCCGCGTGACGCCCGGGCCGGGGGCGAGGAACCTGAAACACAAGGGGACTGCATGGAAAGCAGGAGAAGGAAGGGCCGAAAAGGGAACTGGCACACGGGGTTGACCAGGGGTCTCTAGGCCCGCGCCCCAGCCGTCCACGTGGCTGCTTGGCCCGGAGTGTCCGCGGCCTCCCTGTCTCACCCGCCACCCTTGGTAGTTTGCACTCAGCCTCTGAGAACAGATCCTCTCTCCCACAACACACGCAACCAGGTGGGGATGGAGCCGTGAAGGGGCAGGGGTTGGGGTGCAGCTTTCCGTAAAGCACCTGGCTGCGAGGCCCTGCAGGGGGTGGAAGACTTCCCTGCCTTTTAGAGCCTCAGGAAGAGTGAGCGGTTCCTGTCGCCCTGCGCCAGACGCCGGCTCCCATTGTTAGCTCCCTGTGCGAGCGTGTGGGTCTCCTTCCCGTGCGTCTCTCCACCCACCACCAGCACTAAATGTTACCCTGCTCGAAAACAGTATACAGCCCCGTTCTTTCGTATAGTACTTTAAAGTTTGTAAACCCTTCCTACATATATTTCATTCGAACAATATGTGAGTCAAACTGCCTGGGTTTTGTTTTGTTTTTTAATTCCTGCCTGGGCCATTCACTGGCTGATTGCACGTGGCTGAATTTGGGATGACTGGCTTATCCTCTCTGTGCTTAGTTTTCTGGTTGGTTATTGTGAGGATTAAGTGACTGATACCTGTACTGTGCTTGGTCCCTGCACCCTGTTAGCAGTTATGATTGAGCCCCTGCTGTGGCTAACTGGAAGTCTCCTTCATGGATGAACCTTCCAGACCCCTCCTGGTGTCAAAGAGGGAAAGAAGCTTAAAGCAGCACTTCTTGACTTACATATGCACACAGCTCCCCTACAGATCTTGCTAAAATGCAGATTCTGATTTTGTAGGGGTGGAGGTAGGGGTCTGAGATCCTGCAAGTCTGATCAGCTGCCTGCTGGTGCTGCCACCAGAAAACACCCTTTTAGCAAAGCCTTGGAGTAGTGGTTTGTAAACTTGACTGTGAGTCAGAATCACCTGGAGGGCTTGTTAAAACAGACCACTGGGCTCCACTCCCAGAGTCTCTCATTCAGTAGGTCTGGGGTGAGTGAGGCCCCAAACGTGCATTTCTAACAGTTGATGTTGCTGAGGACAGACAACCTCCATTTTAAAGCATCTTGCCCACTACTAATGTCAAGCTGGGGGATGAGCTGGGTGGTAGAGGTCACTGGACAGCCAAAAGCAGCTTCTTGTGCTTTGGGAATAAAAAAGTGGGGGTGGGGAGGCTGGCATCTGAGGCTGGGAGCCAAAAACTTCCCAATTCTCTGGGGGTTAAGACACTAGAAGAAAAGATAAGGGGCCAGTGTGGGTTCTTTCTCAGCACCCTTTAAAAAGAAGAGAAACAGGAAAAAGCTGCCTCGCTGCTTGAGGACAAAAGAAGGAGAACTGGTGCCCCGAGGCTCACGTCTTCCTATTTGGGAACCTCTCTCCCCAGACAACCAGGAGAACCGAGGAAAACTGGAGGGCAGCAGCAAAGCCCGCAAGGAGAGGACAGCATTCACCAAGGAGCAGCTGCGGGAGCTCGAGGCGGAGTTTGCTCACCATAACTACCTGACCCGGCTCCGGAGATACGAGATCGCTGTAAACCTGGATCTCTCCGAGAGGCAGGTAGGAACCCCAGGGTTCCTCTCCTCTTCTTTGGCTCTCTCATCCCCCTCCCTTCCCACCACCCCTCTCTGAATCTTCTCCTTTATCTTCTCCCTCTGCCCAGTCCAGTGGACCTCTACTGTGGCTGTACCTGAGAATCACCCAGGGAGATTCTAATAACACTGACGGGATTGCTTTTATGGGACTGGGATGGAGTTCTGGCATCAGAGTTTTTTAAAGATTACCAAACTTGAGTGTGCATTGAAATCATCTAGGTGCTTGTTTCAAATGTAGTTGTTGGAGCTCCAGAGAGACACTGTGCAGTAATAATGAGTGGGCCTGGGATTTGCATTTCTAATAAGTTCTCCAGGTGATTCCGGTATGTGGCTGGTTCCTGGGCACACACTGAGAATAACTTCCTAGCCCTTTGTTTTGGGCTTTCCCTTAGAGCATTCCACCCACACCCATGCTCTGACGTAGAGTAAAATATAATAATAATAATAATAATGATCATAACAATAGTATTTGATAGCACTCTGCCAGAGTACTGGATTTAGAATCAGAAGACTTAGATTCAAATCCTGCCTCTACCACTTCCTAGCCCTGTGACCCCTGACACATGTCTCCCACCTTCTCTGGGTCTCCATCTGTAAAACAGGTCATAACCCCACTCTTCAGGTAATGCTGAAGCTCAGATGAGAAATGTGCAGACCAGAGCTATCTACGCTGGACAGTGCTTTATAAACATGCCTAAAGATGAGGCTAGTATTCCTTTGCTCCCTGACCCTTGGGTAACAGAAGCCAGAGGGAGGGGTTGGTGGCCGTGTGAAAGGGGGTGGGGCCAATGAAGAGCGACTTGTAGAACCTGTTCCTGTGTCTGCCAAGGGCTTTTTTTTTTTTTTTTTTTTTAATCTGGAGACACAAGGCCTCTGGGCAGATTGGTCTGTTCCTGGAGCCTTTGAAGAAGTGAGAAGGGCTAGCAGTGTTTAGAGCTGGAGTCCCTGGAGCTACACCCTGGCTAGCTTGAGCATCAGCTAGGGAGGTGCTTGTAGTGACCCGGCTCCTTTGCTTCCTTTGTCAGGTCAAAGTGTGGTTCCAGAACCGAAGGATGAAGTGGAAGCGTGTGAAGGGTGGTCAGCCCATCTCCCCTCATGGGCAGGACCCTGAGGATGGGGACTCTGCAGCCTCTCCAAGTTCAGAGTGAGAGTCTCCATGGAGAAGAAAGGACTGAGGACTGAGCCCCTACCCAACCACCCCCACCCCAATCCCACTCTCACCTCTGCCATCTACCCCAGGGCAGCCTCTCCACATCTTGCAGTGATTCTTGGATATGAAGCTGCCCAGCATTCCTGGGAGCCTTGAAGTTTTCCAGAAAGTTCTGTCTAGCATTGCTCTGTCTTAGCAACCCCTTCCCCAGGCCCTTTGCTTCCCACAATGCTTGTGGAATAATACAGCGGCCAGATCGAACCTGAGTGAATCCGGGGAACAACTCCAGGGACACTGCTTCTCAGGGTCTCGTGGCTGCTACCCACCCCTCCTCCTACCATCCTCCTGCTACATGGGCCAGGCCTCCTCCAAGTCTGAATACCACCTGGCCTGCTGGGAGAGGAGCCTTGGGACCAGCTGGTGACTCGTGAAGACTAATGCTTCACAAGAAAGGAAATGACAGACACACACACACACCCTGAGGCCACCTTTCCTTTCTGGGCTCTATATCTGAGGCTTTGGGGGCCCGAAATTGTCCCAAAACCCCAGGGAAAATCAGTGTGGGGAGGGCTGAAGATAGAAACTCAGCTGCTATAAATCATAAACCATCCTGCTCCAAATTTATTGGCTCCTAGGTGGGCAAGTTTATTAGCACAGCCCGGAAGAAGACAGTGTAGGTCTCTGTGGTCCTGTACAGGCCCCTTCACACTGGCTTCGCTTGGTGGGGAGAGGTGAGAGGAGAATGGACCCAGAACACCACCTGTTTTTTTCAAAATTAATGCAGGAATACAGCTGTTGAGCAGCATCCAGAGCGATGGAGCAGGTATTCCTTTTAAAGCGACAATTTCTGGGTTGAAAAACTATCCAGATGCTCACATTAGTGAGTTGAGGGCTGGAAAGTATCCCCTGTGTTCTAGCACTGCTGGGTGAGGGCCTAGAAATGTTGAACCCTGGACAGCAAGGTTCTCCAACTGCAGTGTCCTGTGCTTTCAAAAGACTGGCTGCAAATGGGGACAAAAAAAAACCAGTCCCTCTTTCTCCACAGGATGCATTTGAGCCCCTCTGATGTGTTCCACAAATGCTGTTATTATGGGAGGAGCTGCTAAGTTTATGTGTGTGGACTGCCCGTCCCCTGGGGTGACACTCCAGGACTGATGGTCAAACAGGCTGGGGCAACTGAAGCCTTGGAGAGAGACGCCCTGCCTGTCCCAGGGTTCCATCTCCCCATACCAGCTGCTGTCGCAGAGGGAGGTCAGCAAGAGTTTGGATCTCTTGTATGTATATTTAATCATTCACTTGTAAAAAGAACCCCACCTCCCCATCCCAAAAGGACGACTGTTGTGGAAAATGATTGCCAAATGAGATGGCTGGTTAGAGCATGCGTAATTTTTTTCTAAATCATACTTCATATATTTTCTTAAGATTACATCAAGTTAACTGTGCAAGGTCAATTCACTTAGTAAGAAAACTCTTGGAAAAATAAAATCAATAAAAAAGCCAAGCTCCCAAGACTTTCTGCTTGCAGAGCTAAGAATCACAGCTGTGTGTGCAAACCTCTGGTGCTCGTGTGATGATGGGCCAAAGTCTAGAAGCAACAGAAAGGGGAAGAAGTCATCTAGAACAAGGTAGCCCCCTTTAGGTTCTTCAGAACATGGGGGTGCAGATGTAATTGTTGCCCAAATCTTTTCTCCCGTGCAGCTGCATTGTCTTTATTTCCCATTGTAAAACTTGAGCTTTCAGCTTTCCTATCCTATGGCTTATCAAATAGTCAAAGTTCTGTATACAAAAGATGAACTCTTTTGTTAATAAAGGAATTTTGACCATAAGCTAACCATCCTTAACTTTTTTTCTTTTTTTTTCCTTATCCTCACCCGAGGACATTTTTTGCATTTATCTTCAGATAGAGTGGGAGGGAGAGAGGGGGGAAGAAAGAGAGAAAAACATCAATGTGAGAGAGACACATCGACTGGCTGCCACCCACATGACCCCAACCGGGGCCGGGGACAAACTGCAACTGAGGTACGTGCCCTTAGCGGGAACCGAACCCAGGACTCTCTGGTCCGCAGGCCGACGCTCTAACTGCTGAGCCAAACCGGCCAGGGCCCATCCTTAATTTTTAAAATCAAAGCTTTTGTTTTTCAGGGTAAAACAATATACATCAACAGTAATAAAAATGACAAGAAAAAAAATATCCCCAACTCTATGTATTTTTAATTTAAAAAGATTTGTCTCACTGAGATGTCAACAATGGACATAAAGGACTAGCTAGAGAGGGGAGGGAGGGAGGGATCCAGGACTTGGCTTTGAGGCAGTCTGGGCCAGGTGTGGGCAGTGACCAGAAATGACATCATCAGGAGCTGGCAGGGGAAAGCAGACCCACCAAAATCAAGGTGCCAAAGGGAAGGTTCAGGCTCAAAGCTAAGTAAAACAGACCCCTGCGGGAACTCTAACACTCCCTCCTAACGAATCTAGTGGCTTCAGAGGACACTGACCTCTCTTGGTTTTCCTGTCTGTACAGAATGTTCCTTCCCTGTCTCCCATTCAGACCCCTTTATCAATGCTGTTGCCCACTGCTGGTTCCCAAAGGTCTTCTCTTTCTGCCCGCTAACTTCCCCATCTTCTGATGATCCCATCTACCCGCATTTTTTCTATTGTGGTAAAATATACACAACATAACATTGTAACCATTTTACATGTACGGTTCTGTGCCGTTAAGTACTTTCCCATTGTTGTGCAGCCATTGACACTGTCCTCTCCAGAACTGTTTCATCTTCCCGAACTGAAACACTGTACCCACTAAAAAAATAACTCCCTTTCCCTCCTCCCTTCCACCCACCTACATTCATATAGTGTTTACTCCGTTGAGCACTGTTCTAAGAGGTAGAACTAGTATTCCTGTCTTATCGATGAGATAACTAAGGCAGAGCAAAGTTGACTAAACCCCCACGGTTTTACAGCCAGTTAGTGGTTGTGGTGCAGCATATGATTGGACCCAATTATTTTCCTCCCTCTCCATGAGGGGAATACAGCTGCGTGACCATTGCCAGAGCTGTACCTCCCTGGGGAGGAGAGCACTTCCCCTCCCCACCCCCATCACTGACTCCAGGCTTGTCTTTGTGACCTGCTTTGGCCAATAGAAAGTGAGCAGAAGAGCCCTGACCTGTGTGGCTCAGTGGTTAGAACGCTGGCCTGGGTGCTGAAGGGTCACAGGTTTGATTCCCGGCCAAGGGCATGTACAGGGCTGCAGGCCCTGGGGCGCTTGTGGGAGGCAACCAATCAATGTGTCTCTCTCACATGGATGTTTCTCTCTCTCCCTGTCCCTCCCTTCCACTCTCTCTCAAAAAATCAGTGGGAAAAAATATCCTCAAGTGAGGATTAACAAACAGAAAGAAAGGAAGTGAGCAGAAGTGCTGGGGGCTGGTCTGCGCAGAAGTTTTAGAACCATCCCGTGTCCCTGCCATCGCTCTTTCCCTCTGAACCTGGCTGACACGGGTCCCACCAATAGCCTGGGTTCCACAACCCACTATCTTCATAAATGGCAGTAAGGATATAAAAGTTTGTTGTTGTAAGTCACTGGGCTTCGGGGGTCATTTGTCACTGCTGTACCACCTCATGAAAACAGACCGCTCCAGTGATGACACTGGGATTTGATCCCAGCATCATGGCATCAGGCCAGCAGTCCCCTATGCCTGATCAGGGAGCTTCCGGTTTCATGTTCCTCTGCCTACTTCCCCTTGCTACCTAGATGACTACAGGCAGCGCAAACTTAAACTATCTGAAGGGAAAGTCTCCATTAGGCTGGCTCCTGGGCCTGAATTCTGAATCCTGTATTGTAGTTGGCAACACAATAACATACCCGTTCACTCATCCTTGATGCTCATCTCTTCGCTTTGCACAATCAGTCAATGATCTGGTCCTGCTCACTTCACTGCCCATGTAGAGATTTCTCATGCCCCCTGCATTCTTGGTCTTTGCACCACCATTGCCTTTGTCCAGGCTGTCAGCATCTTTCACCTGAATCAGCCTCCACTAGCTCTCCCTCCTTCTGATCTGTGGCTCCTCAAAGGCCATCCCCTAGAGCAGTCACACACACACACACACACACACACACACACACACACACTCCTGCCACCCCCGAATTAAAATCTATCAATGGCTTCCCATCACCTACAAAGTAAAGTCCAAAACCCTCCAGAGGCCTGTAGGGTCCCCATGCTCTGCCACTACTTACCTTGACCCACCACCCTCTACCACAGACTCCATGCTCCAGCAATACCCAGCCGCCTGCCTTTCCATATACACAGGCCAAGTGATTTCTCTCCTACATTTTACTCATTCTCTTCTGTTTGGAATGCTGTCCCAGACCAAGGGCCTAGGCATTTTAGGAGCACTTAAAGGAACAATCTGAAAGAAACACAGAGGAAGTTTTAATGTGTCAATAAAGCCCAACTAATTTTCAATAATAAGCTGATGCCAGACATCAGGCAGCAACATTAGCCAATTTCTAAAATCAACAGAAAAAAATATATTCTGATGTGAAAATTTTAATTTCCCCCATAAACAGAGTTAATAAGTCCATTGAGGGGAATCTGACTGTGAAATTAAAGGTGCATCCCTGGCTGGTTTGGCTCAGTGGTTAGAGGGTTGGCTGGTGGACCGATGAGTGTCGGGTTCCATTCCTATCAAGGGCACATACCTTGGTTGCGGTTTTGTCCCCGGCTCTGGTGGGAGGCAACCAGTCCATATGTTACTCTCACATCCATGTTTCTCTCTCTCTCTCTCCCTACCACTCTATCTGAAGATAAATAGGAAAAAAAAAAGTATACACACACACACATACACACACACACACACATCCTCAGGTGAAGGGGGAAAAAAAGGTGCACGCACATGTCAATCAAGTGTTTTCCGGTTTCTTTGAACACTCCCCACGCTCCTCCCACCCTTCAGCGTTGCCTTTGACTGACCAGCGCTGGGTGAACAATAGCACCTGGGACCAGCTGCTCCTCAAGTTGGTAAAAATCCGCTGCTTATTCTGGGGGGCAAATCTGTACCAGGGGAGCAAGGCCACGCCACTGGTGACTCCCTGATGTGAACCAATGACTGAGCAGAGATGATGGCACACTAGGAATCCAAACAACCAAGAATTCCCAGACAGTAATTTGTCAGAGATGGGTTTCTCCATCCTTGAGAGAGCATCAAGGACGAGCAAGTGTGTGGCTGCCCTTTGGAGAGAGAGATGGAGAGAAGAAAGAGATGAAGAAAATAGAGAATCCATTTCTAAGTGAAAGGGCCTGGAGGGGAAGGGGAGCACCTCAGGGCTTTAGAAATCTACCCACCTGCCTGGGCCAGGCCCTGCAATGGTCACATATTTTTCTACGCTCTTGTACGCAGAGAAGAGAACCAGTGTCAG